TTAAATCAAGTCCAAAACACTCCCAAACCACCCCTAGGCTTAAGACATAAATTAGGGGCTTGCTATTTCGGGTTTGGAACAATTAAACACATATATTTAAGGGGTGAAATGGAGTTTACGGCCCAAGCACATGCCTAGGCCGTAAACACCTCCAAACCATGTCAAATGGTAGTTTTAATCCCCCCAAATGGCCTTATACTTCATAATAAATTACTAGGATTGAAACTAGGGCCTTAAACTTCCATAAAATCAAGGGGTAGGAGTTCACGGCCGTGAACTCCCATAGGGATGGTTCATGGGCCGTAAACTCCCATTTGGTCCCTTTAAAAGCCTTAAATCCACTCATACATTTTAGATTTGGACCTAGCAAAATTCCACGATCAATATAAGGCCTTTAAACATCCTAAAACCCCTCACCATGAGTTTACGGCCGTAAACTCATGGGGAGTTGTCCCAGGGCCGTAAACACTATATGGAGAGTTTACTCTTGGAGAGTAAACTCCATTCCTAAGCCATTCACACCGTTAAATGTTACCCGGGACACCCCAAACACTTAACCAAAGTGTTTTCCGCTCCTTAGAGTGCGTATACTTGTTTAATTAGTAGAAAATGTACTAATTGTATGTGAACATATGTTATCATATGTTAAATAGGTCACTAAGTGTGTCCAAGTCTTTACTTGACACCGAGCACCCAACCGGCACCTTCGTCGGATCCACTTACACCAGGTGAGTTCATACCCCTGAATGAACCTTTTAAATGTTTTTACATGTTTTATAGGGGGGATACAAGTTAAACATGACAGTTATCATATCAATCACATGTGATTGATAACCCGCATGCACAAGGATTTACCACACTATAAACTGTTTTACCGAGTAGGATACTATAAATGATTTTTCTGAAATGTTTTCACCTGTTTAAAACTCTTACTTATATGGTTTTATCAAAGTTCATTTTAAACTGGTTTATGAAAGGTTTCCAAAGAATTTCTAAAGGTTTTTCAAACTTATTTTATCAAAGAATACCAAGTGGTGATTGTCTTAAGTATAAAGGATTTTCCAAGGTTTTTCATCAAAGTTCTCTTTCATGTCGCATGCTCTTACTTGTTAGATACCGCTGCCTCACTTTTACTTAGTTAAACTCCTACTTGTTAACGTTTCCACTTCGTGATACACTTATATTAGTTGACACTTATACTTCACGATTCGGTTATTCCACATTGTACGCTTATACTTCACGATTCGGTTATTCCACACTGTACGCTTATACTTCACAATTTGGTTATTCCACATGATTCGGTTATACGTCACGATTTGGTTATACTTCACGATATGTCTTCACTTGTTACACACTCAAGCGTAGTTTGGATGTATGCCTATGCTGGTATAGATACATATAAATAATGGTTGAAGGACTTAGGAATGTTTGTTCGCCCTATTTCCTTTTCTTCGTTGAGATGTGGTCTGGTGGGATCGGACATCCGTCCAAAGGTCGTTTGATTCATTAGTTATATATTATGTATACAAGCATAGACATATAGGTTTACATTAGTCAGTTCAGTTATGAGTCTCTACCACTAGTTCAACACTTATATTGGAAACCCACTACCCACTATTTGGGATGCATCTTCGGGACACGGCCTTCTCTGTCGTCTAGTTGGTAACCAGAGTCTCTTGTAGGGAGAGCGGACATTGTGTGTATAGATCTAGACGGGATTGACACCCCCGCACCCTGACTGCTAGCTACAGTCCACAGCCTACCAAGCCAAGGGGTGACAAATGTCATATTTTATATAGACGCTTGCAGGGCATCAGGTACTCTAGTGTCGGTAAGTATGGTTACGAGTATCCCAGGTTACCTTATAATTCATGGCCTTAAGGTAACGGTATTTTACACTGTATGCTGGAAACCCACTCTCAGAGTCACACTGTTTTTGGACCTTGCTAGCTGTATCTTTCATTTGATACTGTCTGGGGTCTGTATCCTCTGTTTTAGACCTTACTAGCTGTATCTTTCGTTTGATACTGTCTGGGGTCCGTATTCTCTATTTTTAGACCTTGCTAGTTGTACCTTTTATTTGGTACCGTCTGGGGTCTGTGTCTCCCTTTGATTAGACTGAGCCAGGCGTATTGTTTGTTCGATACTCTCCTGGAGTCTATGATTCCTTTTGCCTTAGTCAACAGTCTTCACTGCTGAGCATATGTTATTTCCCTGATTTCTCTTGCTTTCTTTAATAATCAAATTCTGTATTTTGATAATGATAGCGATTAAGGGAAAACTACTTTTTACCACACAACTCCGTCCAGTCTTGGTAGAAGACTGCTTTTATTAAAGAAAATATAGGATTCTCCTGGAAAAGACACTAATTTAATGGATACTCTAAAACTACCACTTTTATTAAATTTATTTGAATAAAACGACACTAAATACTTATGAACTCACAACATTTGTAAAAATGCTGATACTCGCTTTTCAAATAACTTGTATTCTCAGGTCAGCATTAGACAGGTACATCCCTGGAGCTTTTGACGAAGACAGTTTAGTACCAAGCTGCACCTATGTATTGTAATGTAAACCATGTAAAACTATTACTATTAATGCAATGGTTTTTGTACCTTGATTACTATAATGCATGTGTTGTGATACTTGACATGACGTCATCCACCCCAGAACGTTTCTGCCGTTCCGGTTTTGGGGTGTGACAGATACTCGGTATGTTCTATGAGGAAGATGGTAGATTCTATGTATGGGAATGTCCCAGAAACTTTGGATATAGTATGGAGTAAAGGGATTCCAATCAAAGTGTTGTGCTTCATCTGGAGGGCAGTCCAAGGCAGAATTCCAATAACTTTGGCTTTGGAGAGGAGGGGTATCACGGTAAACTCCTCGTTGTGCAGTGCCTGCATAGGGATACTTGAAAGTACAGATCATGTTCTGATGGATTGTTCGCTTGCGATTGAGATACGGATTAAGATCTTGAGCTGGTGTGATGTATCAAGAAATCTTTTTTCTATCAGTAATGTCAAGGATTTTCTTCATCTGGCAGCCACCTTGTGTAACAACCAAAGGAAAAAGGAAAGGTTTGTTGTCATATGCTACGACTTGATTTGGAATCTGTGGTGGTTTAGAAACAAACGTTTATTTCATTCTGAAGTTACTTCGCCACTTCATGGGACTGAATGTATTAAGTCAATGGTCATCTACTGGTTGAAGCACAGGGGTAAAAACGGAATATGTAGTTGGGATGAATGGTTAGTCTCTCCATTTAGTGGTTTGTAATCCTTGACATGTATTTGTACTTTGTATTTTGGTCCCTCTTCTAGCTTCTTGCTAGATCGGGTACCTTGTATTAATATATTTGTCGTTTCCAAAAAAATATTAAAACATGTTATAGAAAAGGGGAAATATCTAGAATCAGAAAAGAAAATAATGCAATTAATTTTAATATTATGAATAAACTTTTCTGTGTTGAAGGTCATCACTAGCCCGATAGAATCATGTTATTGTCTAGAAGAAGTTACATGTTCTAGAATGATCTGGAAGATTCTAGAACATTATGGAATACTATGGAGGAGTCTAGAAGATGCCAGAAGATTCTAGAATACTCTAGAACGAGATGAAAGACCCTGGAATGCTATGGAACATTCTAGAACACTATGGAAGGCACAAGAATGTCTATACTTATCTAGGACATTATAGAATATTCTAGAAACATATAAAAGCTTGTAATTGATATAGAATATGGTAGATAGTTCTAGAATAGTCATGAATATATGTAGATCTAGAAACTTCCTATAAGGAGGTGAAAACACCTATAAATAGGTGTGGAGCTCATTTGCTCCAAACAATCCAACATCTAAATATCCAAGAAAGCCTCAAAGAAAGCAAAGTGTGTAGTAGTCTCACAAAGTGTAAGTTCTCCTTAAGTGTCTTAATAAAAGTCTTGTTGTTTCCTATATAAAGAATCGTGTTCAACATTCTGCACTCACCATTTCTTCTGGTTGTCCCAACTTGCAAGAAGTTTTTTCTATTTTTTCTGATAACATGTGATATGTCCTAAAAACACATAAAACAAAATCAATGGAAAAAATATGAAACAGCAACATTTGTTTTTATAGAATGATGTTAATGTTGTTTATCATAACATGTTGGTGGATCATGTGTCATTTTGAATTGGAGTTTTACCCACATTTTGAAATTGCTACAATTTCTATGAGAAATCTGGATTTAAGGTTTTTCCTTTTATCATTTTGATTTTGTCAAAATTCTGTTTTATATGGTCAATTTAGCCTAAACAACAAAAGTATTGGAAAGGAGGCTATGAAAGAACGTACATATTAAACAACATAACTTTTGCATGGTTTATAGGAAAAATGGAAGATGCGATAAGCTTGCACTTTAGTCATATATGGGCTAACCAAATAGAACCATGTTCTTCACCTACAACTCTTGCTTTCCTATGCTTTAGTCCCATCGAACAAAATGTTAACAAAAAAACAGCATGGATAGGCTATTGACATACATCCACAACGAAGTCTACCTCGATTTGGATTTGGAAAGCTTATAGTTGTTAATTTCATAATCAATTTAAAAGATAAAGTAATTACCTAGATGTTATAGTTACCTCTCTCGATTATTTGCTACAAAAGTTGTTAATTTTCAGTTGGATATCATCATATGCATGGGCAATAATAGACTGCAAAAGCCAAAAAAAAAAAAAAAAAAAAAAAACCATGGCACTTTACTATTTCTTGTACAAGTTAAAAATGTAAAAATCCATTAACTAACCTCAATCTCGAAAATATAGGTTTCATTTTTCACATGCTTGGACCATAATACATTCAAGTGTCTATACTTTTCCCTTTTTTATCTTTCCCGAATCTGTTTGAAATCAGCAAGCTTGGCTTCTGCATCAACAAATATTTCCTGAGAAGTTGCCTCAACTTGTATGGCAGTCTTGCCTTGTGTTTCTAACTGATGCTCATCAAAAGAAAAAATCAGGCTCTAAACGTTAGCCCAAACCTGCAATAACCCTCTTCATTATTTTTCTAATTTGATTCAAGATTAAAAAAAGATAAAGAGGAAATAGATCGGGTAATGCTCTATACGGTTATGTAACCTTAACCAAAAAGTTTCCTACCTATGCAAATCAAAAAATGATAACAAAGTTAACTTTTATTATTCCAATTCATGTATGATAACAAAGTTAACTTTCAATTAAAAAAAATACAACAAAATCTTATTAGTACACTTATATTATGGGTTATAATAACGTAAATATACCGAAATACAATACTTTGACAATCTTTGTTTCTGTTATAACCTTCTACTAATATGGGTCACTGAAACGGAAAAAAAATACCAAAAATTATGGGTAGTTTGATTTGGAACCAAAAGAACCAGAAAAGAACTAAAAAGAACCGGTTTGGTAAAAAAATTAGGGGTTTTTTGGTATTTTTTTAAACTTAGGGGTTGTTTTAATACTTTATATGGTAGCCACGAACACACTTAATAATATCTTTAATTTAGTCTATGCATTTGATAACCGATTACAGATTCAAAAGTTTGAATTCATAGCTTGTAAAATAGTATAATACCCCTATTGGTTTCTGTTGTTTATAAGTAACTTTAATCTTAAAAAAAAAAAAGCACAATAAAACAGACATTTTGACAAACACCAACACCTTAAAGGCAATACACAAAACAACTAAGAACCCTTGTCGTTTCTGGATTGTTTTCTAAGCATTTTTCTATTCCATCTGTATATCTAGTATAAAGACCCATGATATATGAAAATCAAACACTATCTAACTTAACAATTTTAGTTTTCACCAAATAAGCGGTCCAATCTAGTATTTACAAACATTGTTACGTTTTGCCTCAAAGTAAACCCACAACAATAAATATAAGTGAAATTTATTTGGCTTACCTTTCAGGTTGAAATATAGACTCGTTTTGGGAGGTTGACGATTCTATTAACCACCTTATTTCAAATAACACAACAAACAATCATGAATTAGAAATTTATGAAAAAGGAAAGGAAACACAAACGTTGAAGAAGATTTGTAGAACGAAACAGCTAAAATAGAGACTTTTTTTATGCCTAAGGGAGTGTTTGTTTTTCCTTTTAAAATAATTTTTCGACTTTTAACTTTTCCAAAAAGTTAGAAAAATCCAAAAGTTATTTGGTAAGGATAGAGTACTTTTAAAAACAACTTTTATCAAAGCACAAAAACTGACATTTGCAAAAGTCACATGCGTGACTTTTTGTGTTTTTTTGAACTTTTGAGGCTGGAAAAACAAAAAGAATCACAAACACTTTTTAAACAACATTTTTTGGAAAAATATCTTTTACAAAAAAGAATTTTCATCTTTTTCCCAAACACCTCCTCAGCATATGATGATATATTATTTAATGACTTTTCTCATTTTTTTAGATATAAACAAAAAAAATATGATATTTTTCGTAACTATATAACCATGTTAGGCAAAACTAATAAATTAAAAACTTGAAAAATTAAATGATACATGGAACAGATCTCCCCAAAATTGATGACTCTCTTGTGCATGACTCACTCGTTATCAATAAAATGGGTCGTGACAACCATGTAATTGACCTTTTACAAGAGGATGTCCAAGTGTTGGTTGTCAAGTGTATAGCGATGTTCGCAGTACTAAAATACTTGAGCAATTTATTCCTCTCATCTAAGCAAAACCTACCTACGTCTCTAGAATTTTTTTTGTCTAGAAGGCAAGATCACCCTACCATTAAGCGCGTTAGTATATTCAATAAATGCTTCATTTTCAACATACTTGAATGATAGTTCACTAACAGTAAAAAGGCCTAGTAATGCTCGTTTGATCCTAGCGTCATCATGTTTCCATGTTTGTATACTAGTCTCACCATTTGGTTCCTTTTTAAAATTCAATTTGACTTGCTTTTTATCATGCTTTTCTTTGTTGTCCGGGTTTAACTTGCAATTCCTCCAATGTTTGTTCATATTAGATGCCTCGTTTCGGTCCGTATCGGCTTTAAGTATTGTTTTAAAATGAATACATTCCACACTTTTTCTTTTAGCACCATCATCCTCTATAATCCACATCGGCTCGAACGCTACCCAACAAGGAGCGGTTCCTTTACCATTATTCCTTCATCTTTCTCGTTTGCTAGTAATTGGTTTGGGCACGCCTCCATTCCTTTTTCGTTTCTTAGGACCTGGTTTTGGTACATACTCTTTTTCGGATCCGTCACTAATATTATTAACTACCGGTGGTGTATCATCAATAAAGTCATCTTCATGATCCTATATTTGCAAAATGAGTTCAAAAGAAAATATATTATATATCATCTACCAAAATGAGTTCAAAAATCTATTATATATCATCTAACAAACCAAGCCTCATTCACATCAAACCAATCAGGAACACAATAATGACATAATCAAGTGACATTAAAATAGCTCATAAACTCAATAATATTAAACAAATCAACATTCTTAAAATTTTCCGTTAAAATGTCTTTAAAAAGGAATATTTGTTTTGTTTTTATAATATCAAGTTTTCATGTAGCAATATACATACTTGAACTGTTGAACATCACTTGCTGAACATCACTTGCAATAAGTTTGTTGGTGTTAAGTTCCTTAAAAACTCGTGTTCACTTGCAATATTTGTTTTGTTTTTATCAAAAATATTTTACCCATAATTAACATGAAAATTGAACATAGAAAAAATTGATGTTTTGTTATATTAGACTAACAATATTGTATTTTATGACTACCGATATGTATTTTAATTATTACTAACTTCAATGCCATCAAAAGTTCAAACCAACATTCACCCAACAAAGAGAGAGAAATCAAGAAAATAATAAAATTTTACATAAGACTAGAAAAATGAAATTAAAATCCGAATTACAGAAACCTAACCATTAATATTTGGACCAAAAGCTTCTGAAAATCATACATATTATATAGAGTAAATTACACGAATGGTCCCTATGGTTTAGGGTAATTTGCACGTTTGGTCCCTAACTTATTTTTTTAACTCGGAAGGTCCCTACTGTTTGTTTTTGTTACGCGCTTGGTCCCTATCTTACATAAAAAGTCTATTTTTCCATTTATTTTTTAATTTATTTAAATAAACACACCCCTGATCTCACCCTTCTCACCTTACCTTACGTACCACATTATTTTTTCCTATTTAAATAAGTCTTTTTAGATATGACAGGGACCAAGCGCGTAAAAAAAAACAAACAATAGGGACCAGACACGTAATAAAAACAATCAGTAGGGACCTTCCGAGTTAAAAAAATAAGTTAGGGACCAAACGCGCAAATCAGTAGGGGTCTTCGGTAGTACGGGCCCAATACTACCGACCACACCGTATCAGCATTCGTCCCAAATTTTCCTCCCCAAACCCCGAATAGTGAGTACTCTACCTCTAGTATGCACTATCTACCTGCACGCTATCGAATATCTCATATAAGCAAACTCCCTAGACTAAGGCATCACAAAACAGGCCATTCTAGTCCTATCATGAATACCTAGTCTTCTAACATGCATAACAATTCATAATTCAGTGCATAACATAACATTGTAAGGTATTCTGGGGATCTTTACCGTTTTGGGCGCTGGCTGATCGTACACACTGCTCCGTTCTTGTTTACCACTTTACTATTTATAAAAATTTATGTCTTTATTATTTTTAAAAGATTTTTCCTCAAATCCTCGGTTTGAGTTCAGTTACACCCGAAGGTACACCCGAATCCCTCAAACCAAGGCTCTGATACCAATTGTAACAACGCAAATTTTCAAATAAATTTTTCATTTAAAATAAAGTGATTTCATTCAAATACCTATTCCATGTTTCATATCAAATACATATATAAAATCCCCAAGATCTCAAATAGCAGCAGTGTGTATGCATCATGCCGGCGCCTTCCCACGGTCCTCGCTAGTACCTGAAACACATACATAACAACTTGTAAGCATAAATGCTTAGTGAGTTCCCCAGTATACGACTTACACATATACGCCTTTCCAGGCCCTGACCTTCCGGTCCACAACACATCGCCTTCCGGCCCGTAACATAATGCCTTCCGGCCCATAACATATTGCCTTCCGGCCCATAACATATACAACACATAATACATTTACTCTAACACATATACACATATCATATATCATACCTGACCTTTCTGTCACATAACATATTGCCTTCCGGCCCATAAACATACATAGCATGCATAGCAACTACCTTTCTATTTATAGCATAAATAACACATATCATATCCGACCTTCCGGTCACACAGTCAAACCCTTCCGGGTGTAGTATAGTGAGAAGACTCACCTCGTGGTAATGAAAACTATCAACTCTTGAAATCACTCGCACTCGATCCGCCGATCTGCAGACTCCCTATAATACCATATACCCTTATTAATACTCTTATCATTCAAGACAACTGACCCTAAGAAATTATATGCAGGTCAACTCTGGTCAACGGTCAACGGTCAACTGGACCGGACTCGTCGAGTGCAAAGGTGACTCGACGAGTCGAGACGTCCTCTCCAACTTTCCCTGATGTTCCCTTTCTACTCGTCGAGTATCCCCCTTGACTCGACGAGATCCACGTGGAAGAATCGCGGGGCCACCCCGACTCCACTCGCCGAGTCTGAAGAACAACTCGCGAGTCCCAGTGAATCTTCAAGCTACTCGCCGAGTCTGTTCATTGGACTCGGCGAGTCCATGCCATGCAGTCGATCAACTGCTTCCTGAAATACGTATGGTCCCGAAATACACAATCATGGGACTTTCTGGACCTCTAAACATCCTATTACTGGGGTATAAACGTTTGGGTAACAACATAATAATCCATCTAATCACCAAATGGGTTTCATAAACCCTAAATCCGTGTACACATCAAAATAACAGGAATGATCCGAAGTATTACCTGAAAAACGTACTCTCTGTGTCCCCAAACCTCAGAACTCGATCCCTTGCTTCCTTTAGCCAAAACTCCTCCCTTCTTGCCCAACAATCTCTTCAAAGTTCCAATAGCCTCTAATCTTGCTCTAGATGTCCACAGACGCTTAGGGTTCTTCTCAATCGGCTAAAAGACGGACAATGACGGCATATGGGGCGTTATATACGATCCAAAACCAAACGGCTAGGGTTTCTGCTGAACAGCGTAGACTCGCCGAGTCCATAATGGACTCGTCGAGTCCAGTCGCGAACCCGCGACCAGTCTGTGGTCCTACTCGGCGAGTCTGGCTCCAACTCGCCGAGTCCCTTCCAAAAATGCCCCAAAAATATTTAAAGCAATACCTGAAATTCCGGGCTGTTACAACTCTCCCCACTAGAACTAGACTTCGCCCTCGAAGTCTCACTCTGCGAATAACTCCGGATGTTGCTCCCGCATCTCACGCTCCGGCTCCCAAGTCATCTCCGATCCTTTCCGATGTTGCCACTGAACCAACACCAGAGGTACTTCCTTGTTCCGCAGAACCTTGATCTTCCGATCCCTGATAGCTACCGGTCTCTCGGCGTAATTCAGGCTCGCATCCACCTGAATATCCTCTAACGGAACCACTGCCGATTCATCGGCTATACACTTCCTCAACTGTGATACGTGAAAGGTATTGTGAATCTGTCCCAACTCTGCTGGCAACTCCAACCGATAAGCTACCCGACCTACCCTTGCAATTACACGAAATGGACCTATGAACCGGGGCCCCAACTTGCCCCTCTTTCTGAACCGGATCACTCCCTTCCAAGGAGAAACCTTCAGGAGAACGAAGTCGCCAACCTGGAATTCCAGCTCGGACCGGCGTCTGTCCGCATAACTCTTCTGTCGGCTCTGGGCGGTCAATAACCTCTGCCTAACCTGCTGAATCTGCTCTGTCGTCTGGAGTACGATCTCTGTACTGCCCATCACTCTCTGTCCCACCTCTCCCCAGCAAATGGGAGTCCGACACCTCCTACCATACAACAACTCAAAAGGTGGCATACCAATGCTCGAATGATGGCTGTTGTTGTAGGAAAACTCAGCCAAGGGTAAATGCGCATCCCAGCTACCCCGAAGTCTAACACACACGCTCTAAGCATGTCTTCCAATGTCTGAATCGTCCGCTCGCTCTGACCGTCTGTCTGGGGATGGTATGCGGTACTAAAATGCAGTTTAGTACCCAGCTCCTCATGGAATTTCTTCCAGAACCTGGAAGTGAAGCGTACATCACGGTCTGAAACAATCGAGATCGGCACTCCATGCCGAGATACTACCTCTCTCACGTATAACTCCGCCAACTTCTCCGCTGATGAACTCTCGCTAATGGCAAGGAAGTGTGCACTCTTCGTCAATCTATCCACAATCACCCAAATTGCATCGACTCCCCTGGCAGTTCTCGGCAATTTGGTGATGAAATCCATAGTAATCTGTTCCCACTTCCACTCAGGAATCTCCAAGGGCTGCAACTTACCATGCGGTCTCTGGTGCTCGGCCTTAACCCTACGGCAGGTCAAACACCTCTCAACGAACCATGCGACGTCTCTCTTCATACAAGGCCACCAATATTCCTTCCTCAAGTCCAAATACATCTTCGTAGCACCGGGATGGATCGAGAATTTCGATCTATGAGCCTCCTCCATCAAAGTAGCACGCGTACCGCCCACGAATGGTACCCAAATCCGACCCTGAAACGTCAGAAGTCCTCGTCCATCCTTAACGAACTCTGAAATTAACCCAACGACCCGCTCTTTCTTCTGCATCTCGGATCTCACAACCTCGGCCTGCGCCCCACGAATAGCATCAATACGGAGTCATCACCGTCAGTCTCAGACATACATCTCGCAATGGAGTGCTCTCCGCCCTACGACTCAATGCATCGGCTACCACATTAGCCTTGCCTGGGTGGTATAGGATCTCACAGTCATAATCCTTAACCACGTCCAACCATCTCCTCTGACGCATATTTAGGTTGGGTTGATCCATCAAATACTTCAAACTCTTATGGTCCGTGTATATAGTACAACGAACCCCATACAGGTAGTGACGCCAAATCTTGAGAGCGAACACTACTGCCCCCAACTCTAAGTCATGCGTGGG